GAACCTCCAATACAGAATCCAATGTCACACACACACACACCAATTATTCAGACAATCAAATAGTATCAAGCAGATTCATCAGAGGACTAAACAAGGAAGAGACTTAACTGATGAAATCCCACTGCAGCATTTTTTCTTGTTATATACAAAAATATTTCAGAACTACTAATTGTGTAATTTAATTATAACAGCGTTCCATGCTCAATTTTGCTAATTACTTCACAATTTGGAGTTCTCTTTACCAGCAGAACTTCTTTCTCTGCATCATATTACCAACCGTTAAAACATAGATACCGACATATAAGTGAAGCGAAAATAGGTGCAAAAGAAGACTAACCCGGTACTTGGCTTCCTCTTTCCGGTCTATGTAACCCAAAAGTTCTTCTTGCCTCATTAAAGCCTCGTGTAATGCCTGCTCAAGACCAATAATTCGGTTATTACAAGGTTCATAATGACTCATTATCATTATCATCCAGGGTTTAGAAAATCAGATCATAGATTTTTATACCTTTTTAGTAGTGATGAGCTCTGCTTCTAGTGCATCCACGCGATAAACAGCAGCGTTCAGCAATTCCTCTTTCTCGCGAGGCATCTCGGATTTCCTCAAGTGAAGAGTTTCTATCTGTTTCTCAAGATCCCCTAGTCTGCTTACAACAGAGGAAATAATAGTGATGGTTGGACGAGAAGGTGAAGGAGGACGAGATTCCCTTGCGAATAGTTCATCACGCAGCTCAGCTCTAGCGCTTGACGAATTCATCCGTGAGCATTTTTCAGTCTGTGGCAGAGCCAGAGACGCGAAAAGGTTTATGAAGAACACAGTTAACCACTTCCATATATGACTAACCGTTCCTATTTTTCCAAAACTTGATGTATATTGCGCACCTGCAACACATTCCATTATCTATTACACGCAACTTTAGATCCGTAACATTCAAATTTTGCTTCGCAACTTTGTAAACGTCTCTTAAGTATTTGGTTTCCATTCTTACCTTCCGAAGCATTTGACATCTCTTGGGGCTGCCAAGCAACATCCACAACTTTATCCACCATTGGTACACACTCTTCATACTCAGATAAAACAGTAGGACTTATTTTACCATTGGCCTTGATCTAAAATAAGTATAATAGCATGTCAGGTCCGGTAAGAGCAAAGAACTTCTACGTTTTTAATGTCACTTTTGTACACGCGAACGCTTACATTTTCCGAAACAGGAGTCAACTTGGGTACATGACTATTCATATTTGTTATCGGCGAAGCCATCTCTTCCACTTCAGACCCTGACTCTGCTGTTGATGTGTCACTAACTTTCATCTGAGCCAAGAGAGGATACTATTACAGTCTGATAACAAAAATGGAAATTCACCAAACAAAAAAAACAAAAGTCTTATGTTCCAAGTACCCCAAAAAACTCACCCCAGAATAATTAGGCTTATCAGATGAAGATATTTGGGAATCACTGCTTAAGACATGCCTACAGAACTTCCCACCACTGCGACCCATCTGCACGAATGCTGAGAAATCATTAGATGAACATATGTATATCCTTTTTCGATTTAACAGAAACATAACGAACAATAAGATGACGAATATCATTATATATCAAGGCACCAGCACTCCACCTTTAGTATCTCAAGGTCTTTCCACGGACCTTTATCAGATCTCATACAACCTCCCTGGTCTGCACAAGTGCAAATACCGCCTAGAAAATCTGGCAGCTGGCTGAACAAGTTCCAAATATGGTTAGATGATTAATTACATTCTGAAGATATGATAAGAAAAAACAGAAAAAAATCAAGGCTCAAAACTCCCTACCTTGCATCAATCATCTCAAGTAATTTGTTCTGGTACTTGTTGCCAAGGACCTATTAACATCACACTGATGCAATTAAGTTTTCTACGATAAAATATGTAGAAGTAGATACATAAAAACAACGATTTAAGTTACATCTATCTTCGAGACAGTCTTTGGATCAAGAAATGATTTCACCGTGCCCCAAAGCATTTTAAAACCAGGGCCGGCATTGATGATGACCATACGGTGAAGTGTCTGCACATATGTCATATCACATGTTATTAAACTATGCTCAAAAACAGGTTTTGCTAATAAAAATCAATGGTAGGCGACAATACCTCAGGATAGTTATCATTATCAATCTTTTGTAGCTGGATTATAAGATCCCGCGCAGATTTTGTAAAATTCTTTAAGCCCTGCAAACATATATATAGAAACGATGCATAGAGATTAAAGGAAACTGCACAATCAAAGCTTTCATAATTCAAAAATAGACATGTACCACGCCTTGGACGTCGAGAATTGTTGTACTGGAGTCAATATGTCTCTTAGCAGCGATGCAGCAAGCTGGGAACTTAACAGTAACAGTTTTCTCAAATTCTTTAACATGATATCTCAAATATCTTTCCAATGTAGTGACTTGCATGAGTTTGCTTGGGTCGACTCTTCCCAATCTTTCAATGTAAACAGGCCTTCCTTCTTTATCAACACCATGATATCCCTGAGGGTAGTACCTGAGAACTTGATCCAATTCTGGAAACTCAAAGTCCTGGAACGAAGATATCAGTCAGAAACTATCGGCGTAAATCCAAATGCTTTGGGAAAAAACTTTATACCTCCAAAATTGTGTCTGTACCAAAATCCCTTCTCCACTGAATCATGTTAGCCCACATTAACTTTGCTTTTCCAAGATCGAATTTCCGAGCTTTCAAGAATCTGCAGAGAGAAGGAAAATGTTCAAGAAACAAAACAATGGCCTCTCAACTTCATATCGAAAAARACTTTCACAAATGAGCATGTGATCACCAAAATGCATTCACCAATCACCACTTTAAAACAGAAAATGATCTTGTGGGGAGAGAGAAAGGAATGACCTCAACATGATGTGATAATCATCAAGCCTTAAAGGAAGCAAATGATCAGAGATGAGTGATTGTCTGAATTCAGACACGTATCTCAATTCATCAGCATCATCTAAGTCTTCGAAGGTAAGAGAGAGTGTCCGACCACTGCTTCCACTCCTGCTAGGCCTTCTCCTACTCAACGAGCGTCTGAATTTGCTCGAAGCTTTCTTCTTGAAAATCCCAATTCGAGTTTTCTTCTCATCCTCTGAAAAAACTTGGAAATCAGATTTCCGTTCTCTTCTCTCATCATTGTTGGAGAAACCTTCAAAACCTTAAAAGAGACAAACTTTACAACAGATAGAATAGAATAGAACCCACCAAAATTCAAAAGTTGAGGAAAGGAACAGATGTAATCGCGAGTCTCAAAACATTTTACAACCGATTGGTAACTAAATTGACTTACAGGGTCTTGTCACAAGAGGACCCGACATGGATCAAAAAATAACTCCAAAAATCGAACCTTTAGAACTCGGAACAGCCGAGACAGAGAGAGAGGGATTGAAGGAAACGGTAGAGGAAGATGAAGTGTAACTGAGAAAGTAGATTTAATTTTTTTCGACAGTTATAAGAAATAAATGTTAGCAAGTAAATTTCATGGCCGCCGAAGAAAAAAAAAATCATAGCCATAAATGTTGAAGATTTCTCCA